CTCCCCGCCCCCTTCTCCCCTTGCTCTCCTCGCTCCTTTCCCCCGGGGAGCCAGGGGAGCTGCAGGCGCCTCGTTTCCCGGCAGGGAATGACTGTGATTTCTGCTCCCCGTTGGGTCGGGCCTGCCCTTGTCGAGTTGGAGAAACGCGAAAAGAGCTCTTCTCCTTTCTGCCCTCACCGCCCAGCTGTGGTGGGGACCAGTCGTGGGGGGATTGGGAAGCAGGGCTGCTTGGCCCTGTTTTTGTGTGCTTCACCGGGTTTTTGCTTGTTCGACAGAGCAAAAAATGACACGGGAATGCCTGTTCTTCCCTTGCTTAGGCAAATCTGTTTTTCTCTGCTGCCATACAAAAAGGGTAGTGAAATCCACCATGGTTATGACATCATAGCTTTAGGAGGGATCCTGAAGTGACTGGCTTAGATTGGACAGTCCCTGTCCACATGCACCATTGAGATCGTTGCACGATGGGAATAGGAGGTGACCCAAGAGGGGAGGAAAAATAATCTATACTTCTAAAGTGAATGTGGTACACCAGGAAGCTTAGAAAGATATCAGTGTGATTCTTATGAAAAATAGTCTTTCTTGAACAGGAAGAGGTTAGTGGTTTCTTTCTTTGGTTGTTTTATTTCCACTCAAGAAAGTGGATAACTGTGACTGTGGTTCTGTTAAAAAGCTCATTAGTGTGCATTCTGGATGTGTTCTCTGAAAAACTCTCAAGTGATTCATCTGTTCAGCTATGTCACAGTGAGGGAAGAAAAGCTTGAATGCTGTGTGATTCAATAACTAGAACATTTCACATAGTTTTCTGTGACAGTTGCAAGCTTTAGAATCTGTCTTAAAACATAGACACCTTCAAGCAGAATGGAGAACAGCTGGACAAAAAAAAGAGCATTTTAATGCTTTCCTGTTACCTTTTCATAATCATTGACAGACATGCAGCAGATTTCTGTGAGTAATGATGGTAAATAAGATGTTGTAGTTCTGTAAATAGTAGCTTATTTCTTTACAGAAAGATACAAATGATGCATTCTGTTGAAAGGCCACAGGAACTCAGGTGTGTCCACCAAAACATTTATCTTTAGGACTTAGAGATGAGCTTCAGTTTTCATTGTTGTCAGTTTCTAGGCAGTTCACTTTTAATGCTAAAGAAGCAAACCCAGTACCGCCTAGCTGTAATGTTTAAACATGAGGTGGTAGCTAAATGAGGTCTGAGTTAAATCACTTTTAGAGGCATTACCTGCACCCTGTGTTTGTACATTGCAGTAAGCTTTACCTGGAGTTGTGGCAAGGTTGGGGTGAAATGGACACCACTTCCATGCATTGCTCATTTCATAAAATGTGACTGAGGAATCAGAAAAGTATTCTCTTCCTGTTTGCCTGCTTCGTGTGGCACAACAGTCTTGCCCTCTGCTTGTCAGGAGGTGAACATTTCACACCCAGGATGAGGGAACAGCTGCTCACCTGTATGAACCAGGACAGGCTTTGTCCATTCTCTGGGGTTTGCTTGCTCTCTGCTTCCATCCCCTATGTCTCATGCCTGTCTGTGAGTTTATTTCCAGCTGAGTTGAAAGAGGAGACCTGGGAAGCCAGATTTCATGTGGATTAGGAGAGGAACCTACCTTTTTTTTTCTGGCTAGCAAATCATCTTAAAATCAGATCTTGGATGTTTGAGATTTACTGCGTGTGTGAGAGACAGGAGGAGAAGAGTGCTGAGCAGGAGACCCAGTGGCTGTTGGGTGGGAGGGAGGAGCATAGTTCTCCCTCAGACTGGTCTGTACACTAAATTAGTGTCTTGTGGCTTTGGGCATTAAGCACTTGTGTAACAGTCAGGTGGACTGCATAAACTTCACACAGCTCATCACAGGATTTCCAGCAGGAAAAACACAGGTTTAAACTGAGTGGAGGGCAGATTGTACTTCTGAGTGGCTGTATGTTTCTGACTGTGTTTCTTTTTTGCCCAGTTTGGTGGGTGAGTGGCATTACTACTCCTTTCCTCTTAGTAGTCTCTCCTTGTAGTAATTAATGCCACAGAGACTTCAGCCTTAAGTTAAGAAATGGACTTCTAGGGGTTTTTTTAACTGCTAAATCAAAGTTTGTTTTCTTTAACTTAACCAATGGTTTTAAAGTGGAGACCATGCAAATGTATATTTTGAGACTATTGGGGAAGAGCAGTCATAGAAAAAAACCACATGACTGGTAGGAATTCCTACATGGAGCTACAAAGCTTAGGAAAAAAAAAATCAACTTCTTCTGTTATGGAATTAAAACTCTTGTTCAAGATCTCAAAAACTACTCAAAAGTGTTAGATTGTTACATTAAGGGTAAAACAGTGACTTTTTATTTGGCTATATTAAAATGTTCTAAAGCAAAAGGTGATATGGAGTGTATAATTCTAAGGAAGGGTGAATGTAAATTAATATTTGTGGGTTTTTTTTCCCTGATGCAGGTTCCTGTTTTCTGGCACTGATAGTGCATGGCGGCTTATCCTAACTCTGTCCTGAAGTGAGGTGGGAAATCTGTCCAATAATCCAGCCTCAGTAAGACAGACAAGGTAATGATAAACATGGTTTTGAAAAGGAAGTGAAAAAAAAAAAACCTGTGGATGGATGCTGTTTTATTTAATGCTTTAAATTACAAAAAAAACCCAAACACAACTTTTGCAACCAACTTCAAGTGTTTATTAGGCTGAGTTAATGTGCCTGCTGTCAAAACTCGTAGGCTGCAAAACATGAATAATGCATTAGTGAGCCTAAATGATATTACAAACTTCACTGTTTCATCAGTGTCTCAGCAACAATCTGATGGTATTAATTGCAGGTCTCTTTTCTCTCCAATTAGGCTGTATCCACCTACCTCCTCTTATGTCTGATTAAGGGAATGAGTTTTGTTCAGTAGTTGCTTTTCTCATTTTTTTTTTTTTGGATGTCATTGGGCTAAACAAAGGGATTTGTGTGAAATATTTGCTTTGTATTAATTACAGAAAAAAACAAACAGAAATTGAATTGCAATCTACAGATAGCATCATACTACATCTTTCTTATGCCAAACTTGGTCACTGAAACAGTAGTTAAATATATATAAATGCATCAAGATATGCTCTACTAAAAGCTTTAGCTGAGTGTCTTGTTTTTCTGGTAGGAAAGAAGTTATTTTCAATGCAGTATTTTAAAAATAGGCTGACCAGAGCACAATTCAGTTTCCTTATAAAGCATTATGTTATCCTTAAAGACAAGTAAAAAGTACCTACATATCTCTACCAAGAATTCTTTTTGCACAAGAATGAGCAGCATGCTTGCCTGCATGTGACTTTGGAAATACCAATTTTGATGTATTAGGGCTGCCTGCTTTTAAGATCTCCAGTATTTGGACTTCAGATGTTAAGGTAGTTGCTTCTTTTAATTGCTCCTTGTTCCAAATCTGTTGTTTTGGCCCTGTCCAAGAACAATGAAGGAACAAGGGGACTAGCTACCCAATTGTTCTGACCATGTAACCACCTGTAATCTTTGTAGTCACCACCTGTAATCTTTGAAATGAGGTATTTTGTTCTGGCAGTCTTCTATTATATGAAAAAATAAAGCCCTTTTCTGATGACCATAATTATGGGCCATGCAAAAATAATAAGATGGTAACATCACCAATATAATGTTTTAAGGCTGACAGCCTTTGCTGCAGTTTCACTTTCCCACAGAGGGATGTACACATGTATCTCAAAAGCAAATCCTAGGGAATATTAGTTTCTTTTTGACATCCTTCCATGACAGCTTACAGTGGATATATTGAAAAAAACCCCGTGTAAGTTAGAAACTTCTAAATGGCACAGATATTTAAAAGATGTCTGACTTAATCTTTACTTTTAAATTCTGAGCACTGGGAACCTTGATAACTGTTAGTTTGGAGTGTTGGATCTTACAGAGCTCTTTGCCCAGGGCACTCTGTTGAGAAATTAGCACACCACAGAATGTTTCTGAGAGAGGTGCTCTGGAGAGCTTCCTAACAGTGCTGTCCAAAAATGGAAGGCTTCAGAACTGTCATCAGTTACATTTAAATAACAGTTTTGTTTTCTAATATGGTTTCTAATGTTTTGTTGTTAACAGGTCTGCAGTGACAGGGAATCCACCATGAATGGGCAGCTGGATTTAAGTGGGAAGCTGATCATCAAAGCTCAGCTTGGGGAAGATATTAGGAGAATTCCTATTCATAATGAAGATATCACCTATGATGAATTGGTGCTAATGATGCAAAGAGTTTTTAGAGGAAAACTTCTGAGCAATGATGAAGTCACAATAAAATATAAAGATGAAGGTAAGATTTAGTTACTGCAGTTGCTCTGATCGGATTTATCTATGGACAGAAACTCTGAAATTCACCTCTTCAAAGCTGACCAGATATGTTGGCAAAGGGAAGTGATTTCTTGTGAAGTCCTTTGAATTGGATGACAGCAGCTGTATCTCTTGTGGCTATGCTGTCTTAACGTAGTATTTCCTCCAGTTTTTCTGAAATATAAGCCATCTGAAGGTTCATTTTTTTCCTGTTGCAGGAAGCTGATCAAAGTCAGATCAAAGACTGATAATTATGCTGGTGCACAGTAAAAAAGCTGCATTACAGAAGCATTTTGGTTCATCTTTCTTAATAGCACAAGGGAACTTTAGAACTGTCTGTGGTACCCAAAATGTCAAATAACTTTTGTTCATACATCTAGACAAGGAAATTTCATTTTGCCCTTGAGAAAGTTTTGGGTTTGTGTCTCTTTTCAGAGACACTGCTCATCAAAATTTCTATGCAATGAAGACCTAATATTTTGGGTCTTGATTTTCAATGGAAGAGAGCTCAGTGGATTTATCTTGGTTTTGTTTTTCCTCTTACCATATAAACAATTTCTTTTTTTCTTTCCAGAATGAGAAAGATGAAAGGAAATTGAATTCTTTTGCATTAAGTTAAAACTGCTAGTCTCTTTTTTCTTTATTCTTACCTGTTCTTTAAGTGTAATTCCCTGTTTTTATGTATGCTTCTAGCTGTCTTTTTTTGAAGAAGATAAGCGTATAATGGAGGTTGTAATTATGGTTTCATTCTTTGGTTGTCTTTCACAGCATAGAGACTTTCTACCTTAAATTTTAGCTTTGTTTGTCTCAGAATGTGCTACTTCTCCACTGGGATGGGATAGCAAATTTCAGTATACATTATTCTAGCTGATTATCACTGTGAAGAGTGTTTAAACATTGTTAGTATCAGAGGAAGTTGCAAATGATTAAGGCAAAAGTACAGAACTAGACTTGAGTTTGATTGCCATCTGAGGACCATGGTGTTCTTTATTTCAGCTAAGCTAAGAGTCTTCATTAAATCTATTTCAGTCAATAAAAGCATTGGAATAGATACATTCTAGCCATTTCCATTTTGTTGTGTCCCTCCAGACTTGGAGGAATGCTTGTCCTCATCTGTTATGAGGAGATTATATTAAGTTTGTCTAAGGATTTCTACTACTTCTACAGCCTTGATCTGGATCTTTTCAGAATTGATGTGCATACTGTTTGAACATTCAGTAGAATGCTTCATCTACCACTCCTGGTTTTGTTTATTTTTGTTGCTGTAACATGTGAGGCTACTGATCTTTAGGCCTGGATATGGGATTTTCTGCTGAAAATTTCTGCGAAATACTGGGGCTTTGTGTCTTCATCAGGTTGTCATGATCCTTGAGTCTAACACAGGTATTTTTCAAATTTGTATGCTTAATTGGAGAGGCTAGGAAACTTCTAATCCCAATCCTTCTGTCTGGATTTGTGGACTAAGATAGTCAGAAACATATTCTCAAGTTACATATAGATTATGTGATGCTTTTACTAATTAAGGAGAAGTTTCAGTTTGATTCAGTCTTACAGAATTAGATTTTATATTCCTAGGCTTTATATTCAAACTGGACATCTTTGAAACATCTGAACTGAGGAAATTGCTCAGCTGGATGTGAAATAATTTTCATGTCCTGGTTAAGGTTCTTAAATATATAGTAAAAGCAATGGCTAAACTAAGAAAAAAAAGCCCAAACAAACCAATTGTTCTTCACTACCTTGCAGCAGAAGGTGATGTTTTTGTGTCAGAGCCAATAATGAATTATTAACTTATACTGCATGTAATGAAGTTGGTGTGCTAGTCACCAGTGCTGAGTACAGTGGACTTCTCAATAGATAATAATTAACATTGGATATTCCTATCTGTATCATGATAAGAGGAATTAAGCTTCATTGACATTCCTTAAAATGAAAAGGTTGTTTGATAAATCTAATACACTTATATTGTCAGACTTCTGTATAACTTGACATACACCTTGCAAATCCTAACATATGTTCTCCTTGGATAACAGCTGGATGGCTGTCAATAGGAATTGTAGCACTGACTTCATGCACCTAATAAAATGCTGTACTTGGTGCTCTTCAGCCTTTTTTTCTGCTAGCAGTTTTAAACAGAAATAGCATTTTTCTTAATGCCTTCAACATAAATGTTAAAATAGGTGGAGGAGAATAAGATGGAATGATCTGTATCCTTTTGGGTGACACTAATCCATGTAAACCATGTGTATGAATGTACATTTCCATGTGGCTATGGAGGATAAACAGTTTAGAACCTTTGTTCAGGCAGTAAATGTGACTATTGACTGCTAGGACAGAAAAGATGGTCTGCCAGTGTCATGCATTGGCAATAGGAGTAAGGATCATTGCCAGGGGAGTATGGAATAGAAGGACTTTGCCTTAATACCCCAGTGGATTTGGGTATTGGCATTTAGGGAAGGATACTGAAAAGCTGGAGGAAGTGTTTGAATTGGAGGGAACTCTGTCTCCTTCAGCCCTTCACTGACAAAGAGAAAATGATTGTGTAACTTTATAAAGTTACTTCTTTGGCTATGACAAACAGGGACACTGTTACCCTCTCTTTCCTGGCACTGGTGAGGCCCCACCAGCAAATCCATGTTTAGCTTTGCCCCCTGCATTCCAGGCTAAAAAGACTTGGAGAAGCTGAAGAGGGTCCAGAAGGACAAGGTGAGGGTGGTGGGTGGCCTACAGGGAGCATGTGGAGGAGCTGGGCTTGTTTGCAAGCAGACAGAGCTAATAGTGGCCTCCAGCTGAGTGGGATTTACAAAGACCATTGAATCCAAACTGTTTCCAGTAGCACCAGATGGCAGCAGTCAAGCTGCAGTTTGAGAGGTGGAGCGTGAGTTTTGGCCAGGAGGGCAGTGTGTCACTGGAGCAGGTTGCCTAGTGGGGCTTTGGAGTCTCTGTTCTTGGAGACATTCCAGTCTCTGCTTGATGAATCTGTGACTGACTGCTGTCAACAAATGTATTTTGAGCTTGTGGAAGTGCAAACAGGACACAAGATACAGAAAAATCTTTGGAGAAAATAGTATTTCTTTCAAGGAAACTTGAGAACTATTTTGTGTCATCAGTTTGTTAGCATGTGTAAGTTTTCTTGTTTATTTTGTTGGAAAGCAACTTCTTTGAAGTCTGACAGCTATTGTTAGCTGTGGTACTACACGAAGAAAACCTTCCATTGCAGAGGTGTTACTTGTAGTCAGGTTTGACAAAATTAGAATATGTAGTTCTTCAGATGTTACAGCTTTTTCCAGCCTGCTCAAGTCTTGTTTTCTCTGGGATACTGTTGAGTAAGCAAAAGATGCTAATGTGGATTGTCCTGACTTAGGTTAAAAATTGTGGGAGACCAGGCTTAATAGGAACTTGGTATCTTTTTTGGGTATTAATAGGATCAAAGGTGCTCTGGTTCTTTATGCATAGGCCATTCTATCTTAATAAAAAAGGATCCCATACAGTTCTAATATTGTTTCTGTGACTGATGGCAACGTGCAAATTCATTAGGATGGATCGGGATGGGAGTCAGAGATGAAATGACACAAATAAATGGCTAAGAGTTGAGACTTCTTTTCTTTCAGACCAAGATTCTGACATGTTTTCTTCTGACTACTTTGACATCTTCATGTCTTCATTGCTATTTCTGTGTTAATTACTATTCACTTTTACACAGGGATTTTATTATCATTCCCTTGTTGAAAATGAGTCTTGCACCTCAGTGTTCTGAGTACAGCCTGAGAAAGCATTCTAGTAATTTAAAATTTTCCCTTGTTAGTGTGTGTGTCCTGTCTTCTAAAAATTGAATCAGGACTGGCTTGTGGCATCTATCTTGACTCCTGTCTGCTCACAAACAGCACAGTTTTGGAGCCACCTGAAATAGGCATAGAACTTTCACTGGCAGTGTCATTCTTTCTGGTGTTGGACTTTCTCAACTCTTAGCTTCATTGTTTCATCCTGTATGTGAATATAAAAGAATGATAAGTTATATGGAGCTTTCAGAAGGCTCCTTTTCAGAGCCTGTCATGCTTTTCTCTTTCCTTCTGTGCATAATTTCCCTGCACACAGACTCTTGTACTAAAATAATAAACTTTTCCTGGTAACTTGGGAATCAAATAAGGGAAGTTATTTTTGAGTGATGAAGGAGCACTTTTGCCCTAGCATGAAGTTCAGTAGTTAATGGGCTTTCCTTTTAATGTAACTTTTTCATGTTCTTTTCAGATGGAGATCTTATAACAATTTTTGATAGCTCAGATCTTTCCTTTGCAATTCAGTGCAGTAGGATACTAAAGCTGACGTTGTTTGGTAAGTATAGAAGATTGTGTTTTTTTTAATAATGTTTATTAAAATTCAGCCAGTAGGTTTCACTTCGAGGTACTAAAAACTTCCAGTTTGTCTCCTGAGAAGAATGAAATCCATAAGTTAAAAAATACTGGATTAGTGCATGATACCTATTTTCTGTCTTGATGTTTCATGTGATATCTGAACTTACAGAAAAGGAAACTGTTTCTTTTTATAAGATTACTTAAAGTATGTGGCATACATTTATATGTGGTCAAGTTTTTTTTTCCTTAATGTTATTTTCCATGTTATCTTTCACTCTAGCATTTGTGGGGTTTTCCCCATAGTTGAGTGAGAAATTTAAGGTTATGAGTGCACTGCTAAAGAAGAACATTAATTGCTTTAAGTTGAATAGATTTTTAGCATTTATCTCTTAGTCTTTGTATAAAATAGTTCTTTATTGATGCTATGGGTAAACCAAGGAATAGCAAGCAGCCTTTAACCTGGCCACTGACCTTACTGAGGAATTGCAGTAGTGTTGTGTGTGCTGCATTAGTTCTGAAGGGCTGGCTTTCCACAGCTAAGTATATTTGTATTGTTCAGGGTATATTCATGGAAGAAAGTAAACAATGCTGAAATTTACTGCAGGCTTTCCTCTGCAGTTCTGGTACTATGGATTATGCTGAGCTGAGATTATATTAAAGGAACAATAAGTTCTAGAATGAGCTCAGGCTGTGTTGGCTGAACTTTAAACCCCACAGAGGATGATAATGCTACAAACAAGTTAAAACTGAAGGTGACTTTTTTTAAATTTTAAACTGGATATCAAAATGTTACTACAGCCTTAAGTTTATCTAATTTCTGTTTGATAATGCTGCGAACAGGTAACAATTGAAGGTGGCTTTTTTTTAAATTTTAAACTGGATATCAAAATGTTACTACAGCCTTAAGTTTATCTAATTTCTGTTTTGCAGTGAATGGACAGCCAAGGCCCCTAGAATCTAATCAGGTGAAATACCTGCGCCGAGAGCTGATAGAACTTCGCAATAAAGTCAATCGTCTGCTGGACTGTTTAGAACCACCACCTGAACCAGGGCTTTCCACCAGCCTGCCTGAAAGTGGTAGGTAGGCAGCCTGGCAAAGAATGGTTTGGTTTGGTTTGGTCTGCAGAGTTGTGTGCTGTTTAACCAAGTGAAAAATGGAAGCTTGAATACTGGTTGTGATCCTTCTCAATTGTTGCCTGATGGTCCAGAAGTAAGTTTTTAATGCTCAGTGGTTTCAGAGGTAAAATTTTTATTCAAATTTATTTGGAGTAAGGCATGAAGTTGACTGAGGAATAATAGGAATAAAACTAAGTTTTTGTTGCAATTTATGAAAATGCTGTAACTAACACTTGTGAGTCATGACAACATTTTGAGAGGGCTTTGAGCTGAATTAATAGTTTGTTGTTGCTGAAGAGTTCTTGCTCCCACTGCTTTCTTTGGGCTAGCTCTGATGCTTGTCTTGTCATGTTGCTAAGCAAGTTTGATTCACTAAAAAAGTAAAAAGCAAATTTAGCAAAAATTATATCCACTTTTTTTGCCAGGTTAGGAAATTGAGTCCACACATTTTGAGCTCAGACCAGCATCAGAGCTGTCTCAGGGTAAGCAGCCCAAGGGTGCAGGTAGGGATTGTTGGGGGAGGGCAAAATGGGGAAAGGAGTCTTATTCTTCCAGTTTTGAGGCACTGATCTCCTAGCTTAGGGCTGTTGTACTTTGTATTGTAAAACTACACCTCTGCGTGCTTAACTACAGATTTTGGTTCAGATGGCCACAAAAAATAGTGAATACACTGCTTTTGTATTTTACAAACCAAGTTTTATTGGTTTTGTTGTTTAAAACAAAAACTCAGCCCCTGTTAGTGCAGTATAAGTACTAACTTCAGTGGAATACAGTAGACTCTGGCTATAAACCCTTTGGAAGGAGCCTAGGGTGATGATCCTAGAGTGTGAACAAAACTGGCCAGTTTAAACCCTACCTGTACTTGTTTTTAAGTTAAAATGTAGCACTCTACAAGGTAAGGGGTTTGTGAGTGATTTAGCGTTATGTGTAGAATTGCAAAGGGTTGAATTTCACCTGTCAGTTTAGGAAGAATTCCAGGTGAAGGGAATAGAGCTGAACAAAAACTGCAGTTAATAAAACACCATAATAAATTGGAACCTGTCCTGTAAGTTTTCTTAATTTTGAATTCTCTGTAGGCAGGTCATACCAGAACAATTTGTCTGAAGCAGGAGCATTGTACGTTTGAATTTAAGAGAAAGTGATAAGTGATGCTGATATTTCTCTGTGTCAGTGTTCTCTTTAAGTAACTGCAATGAAACCTAAGCTTTGTCACAGATCACAGTTTCATATACATCACAGATTCATCACTGTTACTCTATCATAAGCATTTCAAAAGCTAAAACATTTAAACCCCCCCACAACTCTGCCATTTTGCATTTTGAAGTTTACAATATGTACGTATGGTGGTGTTCCTGTTCTGAACAATTCATCAGTAGGCATTTTGTTCTGCAGATGCTGTAGATGGCAGGGAAGAAAAGCCTGCTGCTGCTGACTCCAGTGTGAAGCCATCTACTCAGGTCATAGCAGCGAGCATGTCTGCCTTTGATCCCCTCAAGAACCAGGACGAAATCAACAAGAACGTCATGTCGGCGTTCGGCCTGACAGACGAGCAGGTGTCAGGTAAGAGCACATCTTGTGGAAAGGAGAGCAAAACCTCTGCTTAATCCACAACTCAAATCTTTATTTGTAACAAGGCTTTTGTGTTTTGGGTGTATTAAGCTGTGTGCTGTATTTGCTGTTTCTTTTCAGGGTTCTGAAACTTAGTATATTGAGGTGTTGTAATTACATTCTTTTAACTTTCATATACAAAACGCTGAAGTCTTGATCTTGGTTTTAACTTGGAGTAGAAAATACCTTGAAATTTTAAATAAGAATTATTTAAAGCTGTTGTGTAGCATAACTTAATCGGTATGTGCCAGTGGTAGAAAAACAGTATCCACTGCTCTGCCTTAGGATTTGGTCTTGGAGTTCATGTTTCTTGGCTTGTGCTTCTTGTGTTTGAGTCAGTCAGAACATTTTGTACAAACCCACCTTTTCTGTTTCATTTCAGAGGTAGTGTCAACTTTTTCACTGTGAGCAGAAAGGAATAACATACTTGCCTGAATTAGTTTTATTCTTGAAGAGCTGCATGAGTCTTGGCTCCACCTAGTAGTAGAATGCTAAATGTATAAAACCCAATTATACTAAACTGAAAGCAGTCAACTTAAGGCAGGATAACTGAAGTCAGAAAAGCAACATAAATTGTAATAAAGAGTCTGATGCAGAATACAGAACACTGATATTTGCACAGCATCTGCGTGTGTCTGGCAAAGTTTAACATAGCATTGAAACTAAAACTGCTGTTACCTAACAGGATTTCCTGTGTACTTTAGAGAAAGTAGATTTTTTTATGATGTGTGTACAGGTGGGCAAACTAATAGTGCCTGGAGCTCATTTCTACAGTACAGCTGCCATGGCAAAAGTAGAGTGAAGAGGAATAGAGCTGCACTGTGTGACTGTGTAGGATCTGCAGACTGAGGAGGTGTCTTCAGATTGGGGTACTGGTCTGTGGATCAGGCCTATTGAGTGATATCTCTTCCTCCATGGCATATTTTTGGGTATTGTCACAATGTGGTTATTTCACAAACCAGATAAAGGCTTGATGGTACTTCAAAACTTACAATGGGCTGTCTTTGAACAATGAAGTGATGGAGTATGAAGTACAACTAATGGAAAACGAGTTAAATTTTGAAGGAGTGGTTTTGTCTTCTGGTACAAAGCAATAGTGTCACTTAATGCTTTGTTGATACAGCATGAGTGTGTTGTGATGGAGAATGAAGTACAACTACTGGAAAACGAGTTAAATTTTGAAGGTTTTGTCTTCTGGTACAAAGCAATAGTGTCACTTAATGCTTTGTTGATACAGCATGAGTGTGTTTGTGTCTTCATAATCCTTTGATAGAGGGAACTGACTTGACTATGATTTGAATGTATGAAGAATTTCAGATGACCATTTAAGCAGGATGTAAGAGATCCTATTTCTAAAGCTATAATCCAAGCTATGTATATAAAGACAAAAAGAGAAGTAGGCAGATTTGATTCATTTTCCCCCTAATAAGGGTAACGTGAAAACACAGTTACAGGCTTGTTGGATGCATGAAGGGGTTTATCCCACAAATGGGTCAGGTTTCTTGGAAGGATGAGATTTGAGTGACCTAGAGAGAGGTGGAAAATTTGACCCCCTAAATTTTTTCCAAGGAGAATTTAGATGTGCAGATAAATCTGGTTTTAGCGTGATGCTCTCAAATGTTTATCTGTGGAAAACTAGAAAAAATGTTAAAAACTTTGCAAGGGAATGGTCTTGTATTGGACTTTTAAAAGAGTTCAAACTGTGTGTTCATTTCCTGTGCTGTATTTTGTTCTTGCTCCCCCAGGACCACCCAGTGCCCCCGCAGAAGAGCGATCGGGAACGCCAGACAGCATCGCTTCCTCTTCTTCTGCAGCCCACCCCCCTGGGGTTCAGGCACAGCAGCAGCCCTACCCCACAACACAGCCACAGACTGGGCAGGTGGAAGGTAGGCAGCTTGGTTTTCTGCTCTGTGAGACGTGGGTGAATGATGGTGTCTGAACGAGTCATCAGTGGCTGTGACTTCCAATTAGAGTTGATACCAGAGTAGAAATTCATCTGTGCCAATAGGCAGGAAAAGTTTCTTTCCTCTCATGCTGTTCACCAGAGAAACAGCAGAGGGAGCAGCAGCCTTGTCTAAAAGGGTAGGTGGTGCAACATGAGCAGGATTTTCCTGGTACTGTTTCCTAGTTGTATCCCTGCTCACTTTACTGTAAGGCAGATTTAAATACACTGCACTTTAAAAGCTATCTAAGGATCTCTGTTCACATTCATACCCTGTGTGTTGTGTCAGGCTTTTACTCACTAACAGTTTGGCTTGTCCACTATGAATTAAAAATGTCATTTACTCACCATTTCTATCTATGCCTGGACTCTTTATTGCCTTTCCTCTGCTGTGTATGGCTGTGTGCTGCTCAGCTTACACCTTGTAACTGTCTCACATGCATTGTACCTCTGTGGAACTCCTCAGAGCCTCAGCTGGCTCTTCTTTAAAGCTTAAGAACTTAAACTCTGGTATTCAGATTGCTTTGTGCTAATGCTCTTTTGCATGTTATCTGACTCCTAAAAATAAACCTATTCAAAGGTCTGCTACATTTGGGCATCATTTTTCTATTGGTATTTTGTAAGAGCACTGAGCCTTCAGACCTGCATAGTTATAGTTCTGGATGAAACTAGGCATAGAAGTATTTGCTTTGGTATTTCTACCTCCACACAAAGTACAATATTAAGTTTCTGTGTTAGTGTAGAAACCAGTTACAACCTTCTGCTGCTTTCTATACTGACATGAGGGTGAGTTACATGTGAGAGGTGTCACTGAGGGTCATCAGGGCATCCACAGTCACTTGGAATATCTTGCCTGAAGGGCATCAGTTACAATTTGATTAAGCAACTTGTAGTTAGGTGCAATATTAAAGCAAGCATGAATGCTGTTGGTTGCAGAGCAGCTTATAAAACACTTGTTTGGCTGTTTTCAGCTTTTTTGCTTGCTTCCCTAAGAATTAGTCAAGTGATAGAGGCAGCTGGGTAATATATTTGTGATTGTTAACCTCTGAATTTATTTCATAAACTGTTGCTTTTATCCAGACTGTTTAAAGACTTTGCTTTCAAACAAGGACTAGCTTTCCATACTTCACTTCTTGATAGCACCTCAGTCCAGTGGTAATTTGGGGACCTTTGCTGGCCCATCCTGCTGTTCCAGATGAGATGAGAACCAGTGCAGGGCCATGGCCCAGCCAGAATTTTGCATACATTTTGATGGTTAGGTTTTCAACAGGATGTGCTCACACAAAGGGCCCTGCTGGTGCCAAACACGTTCTTGTTAGAAACTAGTTTTAAAATATTAGTTCAGTTCTAAAAGAATCAAAACCCTACAAACAGGAAAACCCTACCAAAACCCAAACACTCCAAGCTTTGCTTCCTTCCCACCTTCCCTGTATTTTGAGGATAGAGGGAAAATGGGATGCAAATCACTTGTTAATCATTCTGGTATATCAGGGATTATTTTTTAATTTTATTCTTTGCCAATAAATGATTGTTTATTAGTTGTTATTAGTGAATACTGACACCTCACTTCTACGTGCTGATACTAATGTATGGCTTGCCTCCTTATAATAGTTTTAAGCACTCACTAGTTGGAGTTAAATCAGTACAACAAAGCTGTTTCAGCATAGTGCTCTCCCTTGTGGCATCCCTGTGCTTTTGCACCACTAAATCCAACTGCTGAACACACAAGAGAACCAGCTGCATACAGATGTGGACACTTAGCCTTTGCTAAAATAGATGTAAAAGTTAATTCATGTGAGCATTTCATGATCTTCTAGGGAAAAGAATGCTGTGTGACTATACCTATCTGGTCTTTTTTCTGAATCAAGCTAAAATGGCTATTTCAGCACACAGGAGCTGAGTGCTGGCCAGTAAATGCTGGCAGATCCTTAACTGCAGTAAGCACCACCAAGTACAAAACCAGACACTGATGCTGCAGCTCATCTTGTTTTCAGAGTAAAAGTATTACCTGAGAAAGGCAACCTCCTGGGTGTTCTTCACCAACTTCCCTCTAGCAGTCGAGTTTAAGAAACAGAAAACATGCATCCTGAGTTTCTAGTTCTCAATTATCAGGCTAACAACCCTAAATTTTCCCCAAGCTTTGTGTTCAGCATTTCCTTCATCCCACAGTAACTGCATACCAGAGAATACTTTGAACGACTGCACCAACAGAAAATCTTTAGAACTTAGTGTGCATGTAAAACAGTAGTGCTTTCAGCTGCAAATAATGCAGAGGAAAGAAGAGATAAGGAGTTCTTTTAAAGCAGTGTACACAGAGGTCTGGGAGGACTTGCAGCAGAGCTGAGTTGCTTTTGTATTGGTGTAGGTCAGAAGATTCAACTTACAGTGTATTTATACAGTCTGCTGATATTTGCAGAATGAATAATAATGGAGTAGCACTTTATAATAGTAGAGTTCCCATGTCTACTCCAGTTCAGCTCTAGCTTTAGTTTTGGCACATAATTGTTTTTGTTCTTTGACTATGCCTGTTGCTAAATTGATTTTTCAGCAGAAGCATAAAGCCTCAGCAGGGCCCATATGTTCAGTCTAAACAAATATTCTGCCTTTTCTTGCCAAGCAATTAGAAACAGTCAATTTAGGAAAAATTAGCATTGAATTGGAATATCCAGGCTTAAGAATGTATGGGTGTTTGTTGGGTTTTTTTGACTTTAGGGTGGATATCCCTGGGTCTCTTAAGAAAACTTGGCTTACAGCAATTCAGATACTAAGAGATGGATGGCTTCTCTGGAAAATGTGGCCAGAGTAAATAGTGTGCAATTCTGCTTACAATACTTTGATGCAGAAATGGTCTTAAGAACATATATAAATAGACAATCTGAGGACATGTTTACCTTTGGAAGTCCTTTAATTTATAGTGTAAATTCCGGATCAGTTACCAAGATGTTAAAAGATTCCTGCTCTGTTACCCACCAGAGGAGCACTAATTAAGGCGCATGGGTTCTGGATCCTCTGAAAATGCAAATTAGTAAGGCTCACATACCAAATTAGAACTATTTCTTCTGTTGGAGATAAACACCATTTAGTCTTCAGAATGGCATGGTTCAGAAACTAGAATCTGTAGGGAGATTTCAGTTGGTAATCAGGTGGAACACATTCAGACTTCACTCTGTGCAGGCTTTTTCATAAAACCATTTACATGTTGTCAGAGGGTTTGTTTCCATGATTCTGAACTGTTAGGATGTTGTTCTCTGTTTATAGTCTAGCTAGCACACTGGGCTTCTAACTAAACCTGTTGTTAATCCACAGGTCAGATGTATCAACAGTACCAGCAGCCTGGTTACCCTGCTCAGCAGCCACAGGCTCAGCCTCAGCAGCAGTACGGGATGCAGTACCCAGGTAAGCAGCTCTCCCACAGCACCTCAGCTCTGCAACCTCTCCTTCAGGGCCCAACCCCCTCAGCTTAGGTTCCACAGGGGCAGGCCCAGGTGCTGAGCAGCCCCAGTGCCCGTGGTTCTGGTAGGAACTAGCACAACTCACAGATCAGCAGTAAAAACCCTGTAGCTGTCTTTGCAGTACGGAGCAGGAGTTGTGTTATCTCAATCCTACTAGGCTGGGAGCAAAAGCAGAGTTCACTCTTCATCAGCAGAATGCATTGTTGGGAAGGGAGGCAAAAATCACCTGAAGTGTTAGCAGTCTGCAGGATTAACCTCTGCATTCTTGGGATTCTAGCAAGTTTATGACTAAAACATCCCAATTTAGCTTCCTTAAATATTTGAGCTACATAAAGATGGTCCCTGTTTCTTCTGTCTAGAATGGTCTCCATGTACAAAAATCTAGTGGTGTGAAAACTGATTATTGTTGTAACTGAGTAAATCCTTAACGATTATAAATACTGTAATTTCAGAGAAACTTTCAAGTGGTAGGGTTTTTTAGCTGTTGATTTTGCTGATACCTCAAGTAAAAGCTTCAGTAGACTTTTAGCAGAGCATTTTAGTGCAGTACTGGTTTATGGGAAGTCGAATATGAAAAGCTGGCTCTTGTGTATACCCAAAATAAACTTCACTTCAGAACAGTTACTTTAAAAGAAGCTGGCATCTAATGGTGCATAGTATATGCTAGGAATCATAACCTAGCTAAAGTACAGGGATGAACCTGTAACAGCATATTCCATAACAAATTGCAAGTTGCTTAATATGCTTAGAAAGTGATACAAAGCATTTATCATTCCTTGTTTTAAACAGTCTTCCTTAAACTAAACAAGACTCCCATACCATTAAGTGACTCAGAGTAGAGCCTGGGTTTTTTTGGTGTGCGATATATACGAGGGAGTGCATCAGTTTTGATGTAGATGGGAACATTTGCAGAGCTTAAGAAATTCCATGTTTATCTTGGACAGAACCCTGGAAAACTTGGAAGTGAAAGTTTGTGCCTCAGCCCTTGTTCTGTGCACTGTGTGAGAGCTGGTTGATTTGGGTCTCTAAATGGTATCTTGTTCTCTGCAGATGTCTGACCCCCACATTTGTAATTAGAAGACAGTGGCAAACTTTCTGAAGTCTAATTTCAGAAGAAGTAACAAGCCTGTTGGAAGTAGAAAGGTCTATCTGACTTTCTTTAGGCTTAAAAACTGAGTGGGGGGAAGAAAAGGAGTTTCCATCTGCTTTCTAGTCATACCCTATCATCATCTAATGCATTATTTTACTGGAGAAGTTCCTGTGAAAGCTGTAGTGCAATGCGAGTTCTGCATTCTAATCAACATCATCTTCAAGTAAGAATGAAAGGCCACCAAAACTGATCCGGGTCTCCTCTGTTTCTCATGACTTAATTCACAATTAACCTAATCTTTCAGAAACAAGTCGTTTGGTGGAATTTTTTTTGAGGACCTAGTGGCAGCAGCCTTTGAAGATCTTGACTCATAGGATTTTTTGTCTGTTCTGCTGTTGTTCCCATGAGTATTGTCTCCTTTCAAACCCATGTCCCTCAAGAGCAGGATCCATTCCCACTCTTGTAGATCTCCTAGGCAAGAATGTGGCTATTTACTCATGGTAGTAAAAATGGACCCTTCAGAGGTTTGTCTCATGAGTAAATTTTGATCCCAGTTCCAAGGTGAGTTTACTCCAGTGCATTCTTCAACCCTTACTCTTTCTGTTTAGGGCTGTGCACTTTTAATAATCTGTGTGTCTGGTGTTTAATGCTGACAGGATTCCAGTCACTGGAGAGGTTTCATTGCAAGTAGCTGCAGGTGTGTTTCACAATGGATAACAGTAGATGTTTCTTTGCAAAAGGCCTTTGTGTCATTTCAAAAGTTTTCAGTAAGCGATTCCCTTTGCAAGCTGGTTGTACACAGAAAATGCAAATTTGGGACGTGTTTAAACCAAAGTTTTGTGTTAAAGTCTTCTGTTCTGCACAACCTTTTCGTAGTTAACCCTAAAGAACAGAAACCTCCTATGATTTAACCAGAGACACGACTTATGTTAAACCCTACCAGTGTTTGCAATCCAGTTCACTTCTGAGTTTTTATTTCGGAAGAGGGTTGTGTTTTCCCTCCTTTGCCAGTGAAGACTTTTGTTGTTCACCTGACGTGGTGGTAAAATACTGATTGTTAGGATTTCATTTTCGTGCCAGTCGCGGGGAAAGCGTTTTCTGGCAGCTGCGGGGAACGTGGCCGTGGTGCAGGGGCAGGACAGCACCCGCGGCTCGCTCGGGCTCTGCCCGCCCCCCGCGGCCCGCAAAGCAACAAAACCCGGTATTTTTTTGTTCTGCGAGCGCCCGTGGGTCCGTGCTCGCTCTCACCCTTTCCTCTTTGCCTTTCCAGCAGGCTA